AATTATAAATATAAAATTATTCAATAATAATTATAAAATTATTAAATAATAATTATAAAATTATTAAATAATAATTATAAAATTATTAAATAATAATTATAAATATAAAATTATTAAATAATAATTATAAAATTATTATAAAATTATTAAATTATAATTATAAAATTATTAAAAAATAATTATAAACTATTAAATTATTTTATTAAAATAATTATACAATATTTAAATAATAATTATTAGATAGTTAATAATTTTATTAATTATACAATAATTAAATAATTATTATTAAATAGTTAAATAATTTTATTAAAATAATTATATAACAATTAATTAATAATTATAAAATAGTCAAATAATTTTATTAAAATAATTATACAATAATTATTAGATATTGTAGTTAAATAATTTTACAATAATTAAATAATAATTATTAAATAGTTAAATAATAATTAGATAACAATTAATTAATAATTATAAATAGTTAAATAATTTTATTAAGATAGTTATACAATAATTATTAGTACTGTAGTTAAATAATTTTACAATAATTAAATAATAATTATTAAATAGTTAAATAATTTTATTAAGATAATTATATAACAATTAATTAATAATTATAAATAGTTAAATGATTTTATTAAAATAATTATACAATAATTATTAGTACTGTAGTTAAATAATTTTACAATAATTAAATAATAATTATTAAATAGTTAAATGATTTTATTAGAATAATTATATAACAATTAATTATTAATTATATAACAATTACTATAATTAATAATTATATTACAATTAATTAAAAATTATATAATAGTTAAATTATTTATCAATATAATTAAACAATAATTAAATAATAATTATTATAATTTTATTAAGATAATTACACAATAATTAAATAATAATTATTAAATTATTTCATTAAAATTATATCAATATATTATACAATAATTATAAAATAATTAATTAAATAATTACACAATAATTAAATTATTTTTTAAAATAATTATATAATAATTAAATAACAATTAAATAATAATTATAAAAATATATAAAGTTCCTTCTATTATAGTATGGTGTGCAAATAAAATCCATATACACATTCTTAAATATATATTAAATTTATAATACTTTTCTCTGTGAATACATAGTACTTTTCTTCGTGAATACATAGTACTCTTCTTCGTGAATATATAGTACTCTTCTTCGTGAATACATAGTACACATGTGGGTACTATTCAAGAAAATTAATAGCTTATTAAATAGTACCCAAGTAGTATAGTTAGTAGCATATAGTAATTAATCGGCCTAAATGCTATTTTAAATACTTTTATATAAAATAAAATTGATTTTTTAAATGCAAAAGAAAAAAAATTAATAAAAACACAAAAACCAAAAAACTATACTTATATTTCTAGTCTAAATTAGTAATGCCAAGGAAAAATGTGATACTAATTATCTATTTAAATAAATAAAAAAATACATTACTCAAAATTATTCTGGCTCCATTTTATACTCCCTAGTAACTTATAAAAAAAGAAAAAAAACTGTAGTTCCTAGTAAAGATCTTTATTTTCTAGCTTCTTGATAATCCACAAAAAAAAAATATCTAGCCAAATTAGCCATTCATTGTGCTTTATAGAGTGCCCTTAAAAATGATACCTAACTTATTCTTTTTGGGCTTATTTTTCATTCTCTGTAGATTACCTTCCTATTTCTTTTTGGCTTCTTGTCTTGGACAGTAATTCTTACTTTGAATCTAACTTCCTATTTCGAAGCATTTAATAAGGTCATCTATGACTTCTGCTATTAGTGAAAGAAAAAAAAAAACAAACTAAAAAAAAGAAAATTGTACTTTTTATTTAGATTATTCCTCGGCTTTATTCCATACTTCCAGGTAATCTAAAAAAGGAAAGTATTTAGTGAAGAAAGAAAAAAAAAAAAACAAGAAGAGAAAAAAAAAACAGTACTAAATCATTTCCCATATCATTTAATACTTCCCAGTATATATACCGTAGAAAGTATTGTAGCATAATTTTTACTTGAATTTTGGCATGTAGCATTGTTTAATTAATGTTTAAGTATCAAAAGTAATTGATTAATTTAATATAATTTTATTTAAATAAATATTGACAAGTTTTTTTATTTCAATTTACTAAAAAAAATACAACTGAATAATCATCAAACAAGTGTAGGATTATATCCAAAAAGAAAAGTTCAAAATTGTAAACTATGTTGTAAAATGCAAATATAGTAAGTCTTGGGCACATGGAAAGCTAAAAGATTCAGATCATTACTACCGAATTTATGGAATTTGGTAGGATTAATTCTAAAACAAATTTAAAGAAGCTATAGTAATATTGAATTCAATAATTCGATGTTGATGCTTTAGTGGATAACTTCGGGATTTGAATTTATTTCTACTGAAAAATTGATGTTTAAGTATTTTCAGCATAGCTACAAATAGTTTTTACAGCATGTATACTTTTGGTGACTTAAAAAAAAAAAGAAAAGTAATTTAATAAAAGAAAGAATAAAGAAAAACAATAATACAAGAGAAAAAACTATGCATCCTAGTCTAGGTCTTTATTTAACAGCTCTATTTTATATTTTCTGGTAATCTAAAAAAAAAGTATTCAGTAAAAGAATGAAGAGGAAAACAAAAGAACACAAGAAAAAAAATATATATTTCCCATTTTAAATTTTCATTTCCTGGCTTTATTCATACTCCTCGGTGATCTTAAAGAAAGAAGTGTTAGTGAAAAAAAGAAAAAACACAAGTCATATAAGAGAAAAAAAAACTGTATTTTTTGGTTCAGATCTTCATTTCCCGGCTCTATCTCATATTTCTCTATAGCTTACAAAGAAGTATTAGAGGAAGAAAAAAAAGAGAAAAACACAAGAATGTACAAGAAAAAAAAAATTATATTCCTGATGCCAGTTTTACATTGAATTTACAACTACTGAAAAAAAAAAGAAGAGAGATAGAGAACTAACGCCAACTACAATATTAATTCTAGTTCTCATTCTATCAAATATTTATTTCCAATTGCTCATGTTCCAACAAATGCTAAACCTATAAAATGGGGTTAGTAATCATTAAAAAAAAAAGAACTAACACTAAGAAAACTCAAAATAGTTTCTAAATATAAATCTCTCTGTTTAGGTTCAAACGAATCTTAGATTTACAAAAAAAAAAAAAATATTACTATTAAAAAAGAAAAAAAAATTAAAAAAGAGGACTAGTACTTGCTACCAGACAGTTCCTAAGTCAAACAATAAAAAAACAAAGATAAAGATATAGTTATTCTCATTTATTATTACAATAAAAGAGAAAAAAAAAATATACAGAGGCTTATTGTTAGGCTAGTACACATTTCAAGTCATTCACCTAATTCCGGTACTGAAATCAGACTCGGTTCAATTTCAAATTTAAAATTAAAATTGGCATTTCTAGTTTCCAATCAATCAAAAGCAATGAGTATTGTTGACTAGAACCTTACCAGAAAAAAAATTAATAATTGCACTAGAATTTTTACTAAAAATTCCCACTATAAGTAAAAAATAAAGTTACAAACTTTAGCTTATTGATCTATATTTATTGGCCAAAATTAGATGATAATGCATATTATACAGAATACTGGTAGCTTATGCAAATATTTTTTATTATGTAATTAAAAACTAGGTGATGATGATAAATTAAAAAACAAGTAAGCATTATTTAAATTAATATTCACATCACATGTTTTAAACAGGTGAAAAATGTTTTAACTATTTTTTTATCATTTCTATTTTCAAATATATACTCTTAATTTTACTATTGTTTTATTTTATATAAAAAAAATATTACAATTAGACATGCAAAAAACTTAGATAATCTAAAGTTTACAATTTCACTCTTATATGTTTAAATTGCCTTAAAGTAAAAATCATTATACAGATAATTTTGATTATTTTGATCATGCTGAATACCATCACAAGTATGTTCACAATCATACAAAAAATGACATTGCTGCTGATGAACAACCATTGAGATAGTAAAAATACATTGCTATTAATGATTAGTTTTATATTGAAGATGAAATTGTGCGCATTCCAATATAGGATGTGTTTTTTTTAAGTCTTCAAACCAATTAAAAATAAAAAAAATATAGACTTTTTCATTGTTTGCTCAGTGTGTGATAATTGCTTTGATTAAAGCAAATGAGTTATTATCAGGATCCTAATTTTTTTTAACTTGACTACATCTCTGACTTGAACTTTAATTCGACAATTGGTTACATTATTATGTTCTACTGAAGGATTATCGTTATCTTTTACAACAACATAACAATATAGTTAAAAAATAAAACCTTGTATATATTTAAAGTGCCAAACATTTTAAATTCTTCACAATAGACCTTATATAGATCTGAGTCAAGGTTATTATTATCTTTATCAAGATTTCAACCACCAAAGCCTCTTTCCTGAATTTTTTTATTTTTTCAAAGCTTTCAAGTATGAATTTTTACAAAATGGTTATCATTACAAAAAATCATATCTTTATAAAAAAATATATTTATACAAGTTATTATTTATAGTGATTCAGTAATAAAACTAATTAGCTTTTAATAAGGTGAAATTAAACTCAAACTCATTGATAAAATTTTTTCTTAACTCTCGATCAGTGTTCGAAATTAGTGTTCTCAGTGTTTTCATAAGAACACTATTATAAATTTGTACACAGTATAAATATTTTACTGTTTATTATTAAAATTTTTTGAGAACAGTAAAATAATTAATTTAAAATAAATTAATAAATATTTATCTATTATTATTAGGCAATTTGAATTATTTTTTTAATAATATATATAACTACAGTATATTTTCTATTTTTTAATATACTGTATATATTGTTTGGTTTTGTGAATAGCTTGAGAACACTTATATCTATTGCACTGTTCTTATGAGAACAGTATTTGGATCTGAAATTTTGAACACTGTTCTATATAATAACTTTGCTATATAACAAAAGTTATTTGTAAAATAAGAAGATATAAATTACTATTTGTTTCATTGCCTTCAGATTCTACATCATTAATTAGATTGGATAGTTTTGTAATGTACTCTTCCAAAAGTAATAGTTTTAGCAAAGAATAATTTGAATAATCTGAGTCTGGAACATGTTCATCTTGCCTGCCATCAAGCCAAAACTGCAATGCTTGAAGTGTGTTGTAATGTCTTAAAAGAACAAGATTAATATTTTTTTTGTTTGTGTATAGAACAAAAGCTTTGAATAAACTATGCATAGTCTCTTTAATACCACAAGCAGTATTAACCAAAGTTCTATAGTTCTTGGCATTCACAATTAGATGTATATTGACATGAAGGTTTGGAAGACAAAGGAAAGAATCTGGAAATATTTCAAGATAGTTATAAAAGATTAATAGAATAATTAGTGTTGGCAATTAGAACAATAGAACTTTAAATAAAAAAAATTATTATTATTAGAGCATTAATAAATTAACAAATTGAATATATATTTAATAGTGTTCCTGACTACTACAGTTAGAAGTTTTAAATATAAATATATATTTATTTATTTATTTATAAGAATTATAACTTAATAGAAAAAATATACCAATACTGAAAATAATAATATAGTTCTACAAGTGCTAGGCATATATTGTATTTAGCAATTATAAACTCTAAATGACTATAAATATATTAATAAATACCTTTATTAAATACTCTTGTGATTTTTTTAATACTCCAGACAACATTTCTAAATAATCATCTTTGGGAAATGTGATGGCAAATAACTGCTTTACAGACAGAGAAAGTGACACCCAACACTTAAGAATCATACTAATTACCTAATCTCTACACTAACATCTTATTGTGTTTCAAAGATCAGTAGACATACTCTTTTTTATATATTGAATTCTTTAAAATGACTCAAAATATGAGGCATCAACATTGCAAGGTGTAATAAATCTGACATTATAAAAGTTTTTTGGTGAGTTATAGGATTTGGCAATTTTGACCAAAACTTTGGCAGTTTAATTGATTTCTATATCGACAAAAATGCTTTATTTCCTTCATCATTAAAAAGAGCTAGTATACACTTCAATAGTCTTTTCACCTTTCCAGCTATTATGTAGTAAAGATCTTGAGGGCATTGTTGATATCGATCATAGTATAGTCGATCCAAGATATTTTTTTTCAGACACAGACTATACTTTGTAGCCACTCTCATTTTGTTTGTTAAGTTTTCTTGTGATTCTATTTTGGAAAACTGCATATTTGTAATATGATAATAATGTGAATTTTATATAAAATCATAATTATAGTCTGTCAATTCTCCTGTCATTGCTTTGCAACTTCTGCATCTGTGGTTTGCTCCATGTTGTTTAACTCTACTAAGGTCATTTCTCTGTGGCAGATCAGCAGTAACTACTTCCAAACCACTTCTAATATAAATCTCCTCTTCATTATACAAAGTCATTTGAATGCTATTTTGTAGCTATAGCATGTCTGCTATGAATGGTTTTATAAAGTCAGTAAATTTAGCACCAAATAGCACAAATCCTATCCCTTAAATTGTAACACAGGCAAATTTGCCTGTGTTTTTATTAAAAAGTTTAATTTTTTTAATAAAAACTTATATATTA